GAACCTCGTTCTGGGGCTGCGGAGGGTCCTTACCCATCCAGCTGGGGGGCTCCGAGGTGCCGGGGGAAGTGAACCTGCCCCATTCACACCCCTCCAGCATGGAGCAGAAAGTTGCCTATTATCCCACTAGAGCACCTCACACACAAGGCGCTCTAATCCAATAAAACCATTGATTAGGCCACAATGCCTCATTTCAAACCACTGCCCCCGTGCACAGAGTCCTTGTCACCTTGCGGAAGGCCCCTCCTCGCAGACCTGCTCATTCATGGCTTTATGAGGAATGTGAGGGAGAAGAATGGCCCCAGACTTGCTAATTATCTAATAGGACCTGTATTAGCCCGGGGAGGGTGTCTGCCGGGCCCTCAGGGAAGGGTGAAAGGCTACACACAGGTCTGGCCTCCTCGTTCTGGGCGGAGAGGCCGACAAATTTACTCCATGGAAAGTCAATGCCGATTTCTTTCTTGCAGGGGCCCCGCTTTGACCATTGGGAGGGGCACACTGCACCAAGGACGTGTGTTCCAGTCCTGGCGAAGTGGCAGCTGTTCTTTGCAGGGTTTTATTTCCGCAGCCTCAGTGATCGCGATAAATATTTCTCCGAGAAACTAACAAACGGTCTCGGCTGTGAAATGTGCCCATGAAGGGAACCCCCAAAAATGTCATTATCAGTAAATTGGGAGATTCCTCCCCAGTTCAGAAGGATCAATAAATTGTCCCAATTCACTCGTCTCCAATCACAGCTCCTCATCCAACCGATCATCACCAAGACCAAAACACGTTTCAATAGAACCGACTGAGAGCGAATGTCAGTCTGAACGTTCTTATTGTTCTATAACCGATCAATAAACGGAAACTGAACCAACCGTGGCATTGCCAGAACCAGGCAGGGCTTAGACCATCACCCATCATCAGCCATGGCATTCCCAGAGCCGGGCAGTGCAGAAAATGGGAGTGATATCGGAGAATGGGAGTGATATCGGAGAATGGGGGTGATATCGGAGAATGGGAGTGATATCGGAGAATGGGAGTGATATCGGGGGAATGGGAGTGATATCGGAGAATGGGGGTGATATCGGGGAATGGGAGTGATATCGGAGAATGGGAGTGATATCGGGGAATGGGAGTGATATCGGAGAATGGGGGTGATATCGGGGAATGGGAGTGATATCGGGGAATGGGAGTGATATCGGAGAATGGGGGCGATATCGGGGGAATGCGAGTGATATCGGAGAATGGGAGTGATATCGGGGAATGGGAG